CGTGTAGCTTTGCGCGAAATTAAAACAAAACACTACTAAAATCGAATAATGTTTTAATAGTTTTTAGTACTGATGAGATATTACATTTTCAGAAGGTATTTTTAAAATTATTATTATCTTCCTTGTGTATGAAACACATTTTACCGTATATACTTTACCAACCCATCATGTATTTACATTTGTACTGCTTTAAACACTCTCCGACACTCAAGCTTCCAAGTAACAATGAGTAATACGAAAATCGTAACTACATCTTTGCAAACATCAGAATTTGAATTAAAAACACTTCCAACAGGAAATAAAAACAGTGATAAACGTTATATTTGCAAACTGATCGGTACATAATTTATCACAATATCGCATTCAAAAAAATCCTTTATACTGATTTAGTGTAAAAACACTGGCACCGCTTATATAAAAAATATAGTGTTTAAAAATTAATGTTACTAAATGTGTTGGAAGCTCGCGTCCTCTATTGTAAGGTTTATGAACTAAATTATCTATCATTTTATTGGTTGTTATTTTAAAAGCATTTTATAAATGTGTGCGTACCAAGTTCTTTTGGAATAGATAAATCCACAACGATCAGTAAATATCGTCAGAATTATATAACCAGTTACAATATTTTTCAGAAACCACACTTTAGACCAACGGATATTTTTGGATATTAATCACGTATTTGTGAACGCCATCTATGAAAATATAAACAGATACGTATAAGTTTAAAGTGAAATTTAATCGTTCGCTTGTTTCTTAAAAAAAATTATTAGCCTAATTAAATAATTCCTATTTCATCAATCTGATTCTGAAGTTATATAAGTCAATATTTTACTTACGATTAATAATAAAAAAAAAGAACAAAAAAGAATCACTTTGAAGATCATAGACTAGAAAGTTCACTGCCCTAACTAGTATAGAATGTTGTAAGGAGAGTTCTTTGACGTCAAATAATGTAAGTTGAAAGAGAAAGCCATAAGTATTTCCCTGTAAAAGCCTGTCTTAGACTTTAGTAGCACACATCTCCAATGAATGTAGGTAAGTTTCTGAATCTGATATTTTAATTACACGCTGTTGTTAATATTATTCGTACTTAAGCGTATTTTCATTTAACAAAATGGCAGAATTATGGCGCCCTTAGTCTAAACTAAAGTTCTTAACGCTTACACAAGATAAAGACAACAGCATGACTTGAATTACTGAAAATCTGAACAGTTAAAATGACATTAAAACTGGTAGATTGATATAATTATATTTGACATCGTATACATATACATATTTGAAAATAGTCTGAACAATAATTGAGAAACATGGTAATATAAAACAAATATGATTTTTTTTTGTATCAAACTGTATCGCAACTATGGATGGGTAGAGTTGTGTTATATCTTGTTTTTGCTAGGGGGTGGAGTAAGATAAAAAAAAAACGAGTTGGGAAGTGTCTTGTTGGTAATTTTGTTCTTGGTTCTAAACATACCAGTTACTGCACGGCTTGGTATTAAGATGATTTTATACGCTTGTCGTCGGAAAGCCTAGTGAGTAAATAAAGTATTACACGCCAATTTGTGATGAGATATGTTTGATAACTGGTACGAGGTTTTATTTGTCTAATGATAAATAATAGAACAAAACTTTGTGGTCAGAGGATCGCCATGAATCGTTTCTACGAATAACAGAATAAAGGTTATATATATATTACATAATGCATTGCTTTTGAGAGAGAGAGCAGACTGATAAAACAAAGATACTGTTTTTTATGTTCCATGACAAAGCCCACATTAGAGGAGTGTAAGAATTCTACTGAATGAATAAGTTAGAAGGCGTACAGCAGGAAATATTTTGGGTGTCAGCATATTTTTTGGCCCCCAATATGTTAATATATTTCCAAATAATTTTGTGTTTCCGAGAGAGAAGGAGAGAAAAGGGCCGATAGCGTTGTATTGTATAAAAACTATAATTTCTATGGTATGAGAGAGACCAAGCTGCTCGGCGT